TCTATTTTTTTTGTGTTTGTTTCTCATGTACTACTTGCTTTAAAATTAAAAAAAAAATAAGAAAAAAAGGAAAAAAAAAAGCACATGAAAGAAGACAAGCCATGCTCTCTGTGGAGGCACAATTCAGCACTATTTAGTTTTTATGTAGACTCTGTGGTATTTTTTAGGATTAATCCTTACTTTTAAACTAAGCAATAAATGTTAATAAAATAACTTCATAGTTGGATATAAAGGAGGGAAGTTAGGAGGACATGGCTTGTAGAGAAATGAGTTAACTTCCAGTTAGGTCTACAGAACACCCAGCTGTCCGGTAAGAGATGGTCATAAAGCTCTTCAGAGTTTGGTTTCACAAAGATAAAACTAATGCTAGGGCTGGGGATTTAGCTCAGTGGCACAGCACCTGCCTGGTAAGCGCAAGGTCATGAGTTCGATTTCTGGTACCAGAAAAAAATATATATATATACTAATGCTAGTTTCCAAGTATTCTTCCATGAAGGTCCAGAGAAAGTTTGAGAAACAGTAGTTACTAAAGTTTGAGAACCAGTAGTTACTAAATGGGCTTGCTGACCTGTTATTTAGCTTTCCATCACTATACCAACATGCATGAGATAATCCTATTGTGTTGGGCTGGTGGTGAGGCAGCAAACCATGGTGGAAGCATGTGATAGAGCAAAACTGCTCATTTTATGGCTAGGAAGCAAAAGAAAGAAGAGATGCAGGTCCCACAACCTAGGATCCTAGGACCTCATCAGCCCCACTTCTCAATAGTACCACCCTGCAGATCAAGTCTTCAGTACATGGGCCTTTGGAGGCATTTAATACCCAAACTATACCATGGTAAGCTTTTATTTTTAAATAATCAGCCACTAGTTTTCAACTTCTTTTATTTCAGATTTTATTCTTCCCTAAAATAGTAACCCATTTAGTAGTGAGACACTCCAAAGTGCGAAGGGAAAGTAGCCGTACAGAAAAGGTGGCACAGAGGCAATTTGAGCCTTTGAATATGAAATCTGACTTGTATGTCTACCACATCCCTGTAAGATTCAGATTAGAGTCTTGTACTCATCTCTGCTTTGTTCTGTTTTCCATAAAAGCTTATGTATTTATGTCATTGGAGGTTTGGTGTCTGTCCCTTTTGGTTACAAACTCAGGTATTTAATACATTTGAAACTTTACACGGCATCATATCCTGTACTATTTTCATAGACCCCATAGCAGAGTTTCTGTGATTTCTGTTTATAAGATTTCAGGGTATAGTGTTTTATTTTAGGTTCTTATTGACTGCCAGAATTCTCTTCCTTTCGTATAAAATCTTAATTTACCAATACTGATATTAATGTAGAAATTATCTTTTTAACCTCACAGCAGTTTGACGTATGTTTTAAATGTGTGTGCATGAGCTAGTTTACTTTTCCAAATATTGTCTGTTTTGTGAGTTTACCTTGTATTGATTTTCTACATGTCAATAAAAAATTAAAAATGAATGGACACTGAACACCTGAAAACTAAAACTTGTAAATCTAGTGCATTTTAAACAACTAGAGCATGAGGACACATAGAAACAATTACATTGCTGTTGGGTATTTAAGTTTTTAGTTAAATGATTGATTTTCCTTTGCAAGATTAAGACATTAGCATCCAATTAGGAAAATGCTATGGCTCAGATGCAGAAAAAGTTAACACCATTTGCCTTTATAAATGTAGTGACAGTGTAGACTTACATAAGGATGGTTTCTAAGGGGTGATTGGTTGATTTTCCTTACTATCATTTATATATATTCATATAAATTTTTCTACTAGATTCTAAAAATAAAAATTTTAATTAAAAAATCAAGAATATATACAAATTGTTGTGAAGAAAACTGTGCTTAAATTAATTACATGGCTATCTTACATTTTATAGATTTCCTTCTAGTCTTTTCTATTATATAAATTTTATATATCTCTTTTCTATATTAATAGAATTTTGTACCTATTATTTTCATTTAAATTCTACTTTGAACCTTTCCCATAGCCTTCATAAATATAATTTCTTTTGGTTCTTTACTGTCCTATCCCATAAAACCAGTGCTGAAAATGTAAAATATTTATCTTTCAGAAAGTATAAATACCTGCCAGGCATAGTGGTGCATGTCTGTAATCTCAGCCCTTGGGAGGCTAAAGCCAGAGGATTGCTGCAAGTTTTAGGCCAGCCTAGCTGTGTAGTGATTTCATAGCCAGCCTGAACTATAGACCCTATCTCAAACAAAAATTATAAATACCTGTTTATAAGGATCTTTGAATTGTGCCTGCTTTGCAAGCATAAGGTCCTGAGTTCAATTCCTGGTACAATAAATAAATAAATAATAAAATATAATAAAATGAAGATCTTTGAGTTTCTAAGTTAGAATAGATTCATAAGATGAAATTACCATGTAAAATGGACTGGACATTTCTAAGACTTTTGATACTATTATGTAGTAAATGCTTCCCAGGCTATTAATGCTGATTTCTATTTCTACTTGCTACAAATGACGTGGGATAATATATCTACAATAAAAAGACCATACAAATAAATAGGATAAAATACACTAATAATCAAATGGGTTAAGGATACAAATAGAAAATTTTCTAAAGAGAAAGTTAAAGTGTTCTCATAAATGTACATGAATAAAACTAAAATAACATAGTATTTTAACTTTAATAATACTTTATATTTATACAGTTATACTTACAACTTTTTAATATTTATTATTTTTCCTTGAAAGTATTCAAAGGTAAAATGTTAGCATTAGATAAAGCTAGATAAAGGGCATATGTGAAACTATATATTTTAAAACTTTTTTTTAACTCTGAAGTTATTTCAAAATAAAAAACTAAATTTTATCTATTCAGTGGCTATGGCCTCTTATATTATTCATTAATGTCCATGTTTGTTGATATGGTATATCCCAGAAATCTTAATTGTTGTATACCTATCTAGTTCTCGCAAATCACACCTTTAGCACTGAAAGTAAATATAAAACATTTACAGCGGATGTGCTCATTTATGTCACAGTTGTTTGAACTCTGGGTATGGCTTATGCTTTGTCTCATTTAATCCTGTCTACAGCCTATCTACAATCATTAGAAGTAAAGCAGTAAAATCATAATGCTTGTTTTAGAGATGTGAAAATAGAGACTTAAAGACTGAGTAACTCATCCAAAGTTGTACTCTGAAATGTTTCACTTTAACTGGCTTCATTTATAGAGTATGTCCATTTGGAAGAAAACAGGTTAGGTTCGGACATGACCATTTGTCTTTATTTCCAGCTGTCTATGGTGTTCCCTTTCCAGCAGATGAACCCACAGACATTATCCCGCGAAGCTGCCAACTAACAACAGATGTTCCACATGTCACACAGCTGCTAAACATGACGAAACTTCGCCAAACCGAAATAAAGTTTGGAGGACACCCTCTAAGATCCGCAGAATCGGGTAAGCATCGAGACATCTGAATTACAAGCATAAAATGTCTACACCCTCCCCCAGGAAGTTATGACTTCCTCCAAAGATGGCACTGTACATCGTTCTTTTTTATCCTTAGCACTTAGCACTGTACTCGCTGTATACCAGCCCTGGGGCTGCAAACTCGAATCACTACTGGGGTCAGGAAGATAAATAAATGAATAATTTGGGCTGCTGCCCCAATATGTGATGTGTAGAAACATTTTCTACTTCAACAGTCAGCTTGACTGGGGAGGCAGGGATAGAAATACTGGGGAAAGATGCGACGGTACTTCAGAGAAATGGATCTTCTACCAAAGCAGTCTTCAGACTTTGCAAGTGATGCGTTAGAGGGCAGTTAACGCTATGCCCCTGTGAGGAGTGGCGGAGACTGCAGTCAACTGGAAGCCCATTCTCAGCCTAGAAAAGGGAGCTGCAGTGTTTCCCGTCCTGCGAAATCTTCCCAGAGGAGCAGGGCTTGAGAAAGTTTAAAGTTCTCTAATTAAAAATACTATGTAAAACTTTTCATAAACATTCTGCAAACCAAACATAATACTCCAGGGCTAGCAGTATTTCGCCCTCTCTAACAGCATGGCTGTTGTTCAAGTGAGTGACAAGCACTGAAGTGCTGCAACTCCCTGTGTATTGGAAACACCTAGGACATTTTTGAAGTACTTAATATCAAAAATATATGTATTCTTTTCCTAACGGGTATGGTGGCACACACCTGTAATCTCAGCACTTGGGAGGCTGAGGCAGGAGGATTGGGAGTTCAGGCCCAGACTACAGAAGAGACCCTGCCACAAAAAAACAAAATTATTTTCCTGAGGTCTATGACCTGCTCCCAGGGACTCTGATTTAATGTGGCCTGGGATGAATTTGGTTTGTTTTGTTCTGTTCTTTGGCTTTTTAACTCCTGTCATGATTCTTATGTGTAGCCAGGGCTGAGACCATTGGATTACTCAGCCCCACAAAAGCCATGTGGTGCAGATGACACAAGCACTGAAATAATTTAGAGCAAGATAAAATGATTATAGTAATATCAGAATTATGAAAGAAGAAACAGATCTGGAAAGTGTTTAATACATACTGAGATTTATGGAAGAAAACTGAACAAAAACAAGGAGACAGTGAAATGTGTGCATAGGTTGCTGTAGAGTTCCTCAGGGGACGGCATGCATGGACAGACAAGCTGTGTCTCGATTATGATTGGAAGCCCACCGTGTGGCACACACCTGTAATCGCAGCATTCTGGGGACTGACGCAAGAGGACCGCAAGTTCAGACCTAGCCTGGCCAACCTAGCAAGCTACTGTCTCAAATTTAAAAGGCTCGGGGCCTGGGGATGTCGCTCAGTGTGAAGAACCTGGATTCCGTCCCCAGTAGGAGGCATGGAGTGATGATTGGAGTATGTCTTACGTTCCTAAAATAAAGGGATGATAGCTTTTTTTTTTTTTAAGAAGTTAAATTTTACAACAGAATTCAAGGTGAACTGTGAAACCAGGTGAGACCAGGGGTTGTTGAAGGTCTTCACAGCAAACTGATAGTGGCTGTGAAAAGAAAGCGGCGGGCCCGAGAGAAGCTGCAGGGATAAAGCTGGCGGGACCTGTGGAATCTCAGACAACAGGGATGAGAGAGTGGTCAGAGTTGGAGGAGGTCAAACTAGAATGAGGAGAAAGAGATAATCTTGGTGAAAGTCACAAGAATGATCTCATTTCACTCCCTGTATTTATCCCATGTTTATTTATCCTTAGGATATTTTCCATGTTCATCAGCATTACATGTTCTAGGTCAGTGATGGTGAACTTTTTAGAGATGAATGCCAGAACTGCAATCCAGGACCCATTTATTTATCACAAAGTGCAACGCTGCAATTAAACTTAAATACTGAGCTTTTAGTTTAGAAAAGACAATTCATACATTAACATCTTTTATCTTAAAAGAAAAATAACATGTATGCCTTGGGCTCACTACCACTGCCCAGGGTTATATGTTCCTAGAGAACTGGACCTATTTTGTAACTTCTTCAGTATTCTCTGGAAGAGACTGTATCTATTTTATCCCTTTATTGTGATTTTTCCAAACTTTGGGAAAATATGTAAATGAAAAACTCTCATATGCCTGTCACCCACCTGACAATTATCAACTATAGGCAAGATTTTTGATAGGAAAGAGAGAAAATAATGAAAATTTGTGTATTATTACTTATACTATATATAGGCAGAGAGAGAAAAAGAAAGGTTATATACAATTCATGGTCATTAAAGAGCCTTTAGAAAATACATAAAAGATGAAAATCATCTCACTATCCATATATCCACTGTAGACACTTTGGGTCACGATTCAGTCTTAAGGAAGATTTGCCACAGAATGAAATTAGTTAAGAATATTTTCAATAACAAATGCAATATCTGTAACTGATATGCTGTGATAACTTTCACTTACAAATGACTGAACTATAAAGCATGTAACTTTGTGACTGTAAATGCTCTGTTTTTTACTATCCCTGAGACGTAATGTTTTAAGAACTAAGTATGTTTTTAAATGAAAATGCAAATCTGGATATGGATATTTTAACTTCTTAAAATTATAGTTCAGCAATAATTAAAATGTATGAGATTAAAGGAGAATTCAGGTAACGCTAATTTCATCATTAATTCAGTATTTGAATTAAACAGAAACTTTTTCATTGGCCACATGTATTAGTATATATTCTGGAAATTCTATAAATAGGCTGTCACTGCATAGTAACAGTACAGTTGAGTCATATGCATGTAACACTGCCCTCTGATAACATATTGCTTCTGCCCTGTGAATCCCAATTATATTTACATTCATTTGTGACCGTAGGGTTTATTGTTGTTCTTAATTAGGTCAGTCTCCTGCACATATGTGGCAGCTAAGGTTAAATGAACATACATTGCACTTCTGGTTCTCTTTCTACAGATACTTTTCAATTGCTCCTGTTGATATTCATAGACTTTAAAGCTTACTGTAAGTGAATATCATAATTATTGTTCATAGTATATCATTTAAAAAGAGTAACTAATAAATATGCCCAAGAACATACTTTTTAATATGGAAAAAGCTAAGAGATGCTTCTTTATTTGAACTATTGATGTCTAAAAAGTGGACTCCCTATGACAAAATTTGAATTGCTTGAGAAAAATGAACGTGTGCTCTTGTAATTGACTGTCTAGCACTCATGTAAATTGTGATGTTTTATTATAAATGCACATACTGAGAGATCCCTATGAGGCCTCTAGAGAAAAACATAGCCATTTCCTATGGGTGCTTTCTAACATTTTCACACAAGGCAAAAAAGAAACCTTGAAACATCGCTGTTTTGGAGTGTTTTGTTGAAAGTCATAGTTTGATCAAGAGTTTTTAATGAAACTAAACAATAACTGGGTTTCCAAAAAGCTGCGTATTCCCACTGTTGGCTTTCAGTTCCCAGTGCGCGGTAGCTAATGACTGTTAGTCTGCAGACGACTGTGGAACCTGATGATCTTGTGTTCATTAATGGGACCTCAGTTTAATTGAACCAGAGAAGCAGATCTGGTTATTGAATTTGAGCATTCAGCCACTAATGACAAGATGCAGTGGTCCACTAAGCACAAATCAAAACTAGCAATTTACTTAAAAATTACAAGGCAGTTTTCCCTCGTGCACTCCTTTCCATAGCAACAGTCTTATTAGATTCTCACTCCTTTTTTAAGTAAGACTGATGTCTCTACCTCCTAGCACAATTGCAAATGGGTAAATTAACTCATCTAGCCAAAAAAACCGTACCATGATCGGATAATTACCTTTGGGACAAGTGAAATCCATATTAGAATTTCTTCTTTGGGTTCCACATTATGAAAGCAAGATTAAAATTGAGTAACAGCATACTCTGAAGCAGACGAACCCAGAAGGAAAAAAATCTTGACTCTTGACTTAGAAAAGCTAAGGTACTCTAATTTCTTCCTTTCTAAACTCCAGCTTTTGGTTAAGTTGCTTTGGATTGATTGTTGGTTAAAGAAATTCAAGTTCCAATTTTTGGTTCCAGTATCTGATAATAATTCAAAATAAATTCAAGTCACCTCTTAAATTTGGATTTTGTATCCTGTTTCCATATCTTCAATAAAAAGAAGCATAACTGGTCACGTTCCTTCATTTTAAAAAAAATGTCAACTGTGTAAGGAATTTAGAATGGACTTTGATCAATATTTCTGAAATATGTTATAGCAGAGATGTTACAAACCATTCATAGAGTGAATCTTAACTTTCTATGAAATTTTTGCCAAATTTTAAAAACTGTAATATAACAAAACAACACTAAATATGAAAAATGCACTTTGTCAGTGTGATCATTGCATTGATCTGATAGGATTGACTTGTACCAACTTTACATTTCCCCTTAAGGTATAATAACAAGACCTAGAGATAAGTTATTTATATACATTAGGGAATTAATGCAATAATCATATAAGATATAATGCAGCTATACAGACTGATCTGCTGTGTCAGTGATAGTCTAGAAAGGACTCAAAGCCACGTCAGGCAGTGAGAAATGAAACCCTAATGCTGTTTCAGCGTGATCCCACTGATACGAATAAAAAGACATTTATCCGTGTAGATGTCTATACATACGGAAGCACAAAAAACTTAATGATTACCTCTGCAAATGAAGAGGACACAGGCAGGGAAGTCTCCTATCACATCTTTCTCTATCAGAGAATTTTAGTTTTCTAACTATGCTTACTTCTTAGGTCAGCAGTACGTTAGAGCAGTTATTGAACAATTCTGCCTTCTTTTTACTTTCAGTATTTTAAAAAACATTAATTATAAAATTAAAATATATTACTCAATATCAGTATTTTAATTTAAAATATATAATGAGAAAGAAGCTCAAAATTTTTGGCAAAATAATATATATAAATGTATACTTAAATAATTTTATTTATACTATATGAAGGAGGTATACATATATATCAGGATGAATTGTAA